TAACGTATTTACAGATGTGTTATAATGTATTTACAGATGTGTTATAATGTATTTACAGATGTGTTATAATGTATTTACAGATGTGTTGTAATGTATTTACATATTTACAACAATTCCATTTTGTACAGTTTGTTTACTTCTGATTCAGCTGCTTGATGTTTGAACTGTTTGATGAATGTAAAATTAGTTTCATGAGTTTTTAGCCAAGAGTCTTAGTTTGTATTGATCCCAAACATGTCCAGGTTCAACTGACAGATCTTAAGTTAAAGAAGTTAAAGAAGTAGAAAAAGGGAAACAGTGTTTTGCCCCTGATACCAGAGACATGGGGCTCAACAGGTTCTTCTCTGCAGCTGACAGAACCTGAAACAGAACAAATCCATCAGAGACCTGAGAGCCTCTTTAGGGACCAGATGTCTGTGTGGATCTTTGAATCCAGAACCAGAAGCAGAACCACTTGAACAAACTACTAGAAGGTCCAGATCAGTCCTGGAGCACCTGAACCTTCTAGAACCACTGACCTTCACGGGGAAGTAGTAGGACCTGAAGCTGAGGTGGTCTCTGCCACACAGCGGGGGGAACTCAGAGCGCATGTGCATCTCTAGATGTTGGAAGAAGTCGTGGTCCTGGAGACAAACAAAGACCGGACCAGGTGAAGATCTGAACATGTTGAGACCAGGACCTGAGCCACAGGTTCAGGACCGTCCAACAGAAGCAGTATTTTAAACCCTGAACAGATTTACCTCGTGTGAGGTGAAGGGGACCAGGATCCCGATGCCCCCGGACAGGGTAGTGTAGACCAGGGACTCAGACCCTCCAGGGATCAGGGTGGTCTTCTGCAGGGACAGTACTGTCTCTCCTACATGGTAGTTGACCACCACTTCAGCCTGAAACACAAAGAACACAGGTGGTTCAGTCAGGAGCCTCAGAACCTTCATCAACAGGAGGAGAGCCAGGAGAACCATGACTCAGCATTATTTTAATGACAGACTCCAGCTGCTCCTGAGCTGTGAGGACAGTTTGAGCTGGACGGGACCAACCACAGAACATTCTGGATGAGCCGGGCGTCGACAGGAAAGCAGCAGAACTTTTCCAAAGGAATCGATGTGTTTGGAGGTAAAAATAGCCGAAGAACGCTGCGTCACAAAGAATCCAGCTCATCATGTCTGAGCTGCAGGGACTTTCCCCGTGCATGTGCTGCCTCAGCACTTCAACAGGATGTGAGGGACCAGGACGCAGCGTGTGAGCTGATGAAGATGAGGAAGAGGAGCTGACTGATGACAGTTACCTTCTGTGAGGCTCCGTTCAGGAGACCCCTGTCCCACAAGGCTTTGTTCCCTGTGGGGTCTTCATCCACGTCGTCGCTGGTGTTGGGAGGGAGACGCACCTGAGAAGACAAAGCTGAGAGGTAAAAGCTGTTCACCTCCTCAGAGCTCTGCAGACGTCAGGAGACGCTGCTGAGGTTTATTAGTCTGCATGTTTCAGAATGAAGCTGTAAGAACCTGACTGTCAGGTAACTCCTCCTCCACAGCAGAGCGTCTAAAGCTGAGAGCACTTCCAAAACAAAAACACTAAACCAGGCTTATTATGGTTAATCCTTCCATTTCCTGTACACACTTCTTCCTCTCAGGGTCACTGGTGCCCATATCCAGCAGTCACAGTGTGAGGGGCGGGGCCACCCTGGACAGGTCTCAGTCCATCACAGGGCCTTAACAAAAACTAACTAAATAATGAAAACTGAAACCTTTTAGTTAACTAAAATAAATAAAAACTGTAATAAAATGAAAAAAAAAAAACAATAACTAAAACTGTATAATCTTTTTACAAAACTAACTCAAACTAACTGAATTTATAGACAGAATAATNCCCTGCCCCTGTCCCCTCCCCCCTCCATCGTCAACTCCAGCGAGATCCTGGTGGAGCTGGAGCGCAACAACAACTCTGCCAACGCCAAGCGCAAGAAGGGGCCAACGGGGGGCGACAGCGAGCCCAACCTGATCGACTGCCTGCTGGTCAGCCCGGCCGTCAACACGCTGTCCATCCAGCTGCCGGCGCAGGCCGACCGCGTCCTGGGCTGCTTCGCCCTCATCCTCAAGATGCTGTGAGTCCAAACCAGAGGGACCATAATTAACTAAAACTAACTAAATAACAAAAAACTGAAATTTAAAAAACATTTTAGTAACTAAAATAAATAAAAAATGTAATAAAATGAAAAAACAATAACTAACTAAAACTGTATAATCTTTTTACAAAACTAACTCAAACTAACTGAATTTATAGACAGAATAATCTTAGTTTTAGTGTTTCAGTTTATTTTAATGGAGWAGTTTCCATCAGCTGTGGTCTGTAACAACACTTGTTTACAGTCTGCTGCTGCTCAGCATCACCTGCTGAATGACAACAACAGTTGGGAGAAAACAACAACAACAACGTCCACTTTGGGATTTCTTTGAATCTGACTGAAAAATCAAACCAAGTGTGTTGTAGTGGAAACAGGTGATAAAACAGGTGGAAAACTTCTGAAGAGAAAAACTGCATGAATCAAACTCACACAAGATGCTAACTGTGACTATCTGACAGCTTGGTAGCTTTTTCTCTCCCTCCTGACCTTCCTTATCTTCCCTGCTGGAGCCTTCTCTACGTCTTCATCTGAAACCAGAAATTATGGATATTTTTATTTTTATGGACTTGGTTAGCTGGTCTCTTAATAAATTTTTGGAACAAAGTTTTTTCTTCTTCCATGGGAGGACATGTCAAAGGTTGGACCTCTGTTCTGTTCTGGATATATATCTGGACTCTGATCACTGGATTCTACAGACTGACTTGGTGGTCTCCTGGTGGTCTACAAAACAGCGTCGGAGGCTTTTCATCTCCTGGCTGACTGACCGATATGAAGGATTGCTGTTCTATCAGCACTCAGACTTTTTCCTTGAGTGAGCTGGACTCGATCTGCAAGCGGTTCTGCTGAGGGTCGCGGGCCGGCTGTGGTTCCTGGACTTTGCTGGCCAGATGGAAGTGATTTTGGAGAAGCTGAGAGCTTAGCTCGGTGGGATTGTCCACATTATTTGTCTGATTGGATTCACCACATTGGATGTACCAGCAGACATTAAGGCAGATGGAAAATTGTTAGTCTGTCTGACCAAAAACATTTTCTCTGTTCCCAAACAACTGATTACAAATCCACCCCCCAGCCCCATGTGAAGGCTGTGGATCTAAATTCTCCTGGTGTTTACATCAACTTGAGGCTCCTCCCCCATCACTCGGACTAATCTGATCCCCTGAAGGTCAACCTGGAACTGCACAGAATGAAAAATTCAACACCAATATTCTGAACTATGACTGAAATATTGGTTTTTCTTTTGGGGGGCTGGGCTCTTTGGACTCATTCCCTCTAAACTCACTCACTCCTCTGGTTAATAAATGTGCTCTTGCTTGTTGAGGTTTTTTTCTATAAACACCATAGTGTATCATTTCGTTGATATAATAAGATTTTTTTTCCTCATCCAACCTTCTGTGGTATTTAGTTTTTCTTTTTAAAGGTAGAGCGACCCCTGCTGGTTACTGCATGACCTGATCACCTGTTGCCCATATTTTTGTCATGTGTGTCTTCTTCAATGGGTGTTCTTAAATGTAATTTCATTGTGCAAACGATGACAATAAAGGCATCAATCAATCAAATCATAAAAATGCAATTATAACTAATAAAAACTAGTAAATCCTCAGTAAAAACTAATTCAAACTGAATTAAAAGAAAAAAGTCAACAAAATAAAACTAAACTATAATGAAAAATCAAACTATTATAACCTTGCACCAAATCCAGACATTTTATTGTGAAAAGCTGATGTGAATCCTGCTTTCAGGCCGCGGTGGTCTGAACTTACGATGCTGATGTTGCCGAACTTGTCAGCAGAAGCCATGGTGTCGTAGTCGAGCAGGCAGGCCGTGGTCACCCAGCGGGGGTACGTGTCGTCTGCAAAGATGATGAGCTGGTTCTCGTTGCGGCGGTAGCGAACCCAGAAGAGACTCTCCTGAACATCGGAGATGATGACTCGCTGGCCCACAGTGTAGATCCCAGTCACCAGGTTAGGAACGTGCTGCAGAGGAAGGAAAGATCACAAGCAGGAAAACACTGTTATTTACAACCTGAAATGTTTTAACCACAAGAACTAAATATGAAGAAGATCCAAGCAACAGATGTGTCCTCCTGCTGGAGTCCAGCCTAGATCCTGCCTGAGGTCCTGAGGTCTCACAAACATCCTGAAGAAAAACTTTCCTTTAATGAAATGAGCTGTAAAGACTTCAGAAACATCTCTATCTGCTAACATATCTGTTTTAACTCCTCTTTATTCATCAGCTGAACTAACGACACATCAGAGCTGTTTTTACTTCTCATGCAGAGGCTGCTGACAGTATCTAACAGGTCTGTCTGAAATGATGCCAGGTGGTCTTTAAGACAAATAAAAACAGATGAAGCCTGAGTGGAGAGGACCAGGATCATTAAACTCACCTTGTTCTCACATTTACGCAACAGCTTCTTTTTGCCCAGATCGTAGATCCTCAGCAGCTTCCCGACTCCGACCAGAACACGTCCCTGAAACGGAGCGATGGCCAGTGGGACGTCCTCTACGGGGGTCTGGAGACAAAACAAGCTCCTCTTTACTCCTCATTAAAACAGAAACTCTTCTTGTAGTAAATGTACTTCTTGTTTGTAGTATTTATCTTCTGCTTCATTTTTGTAAAAGTATCAGTTTGTTTGTTGAAAATAAGGCGCTCTTTCATTCACAGCATGATTTACTTTTATTTTTATGGTCCTGTATATAAATGGTTTTATATTTATGGTCCTGTATATAGATGGTTTTAT